GCACAAAAAGTACGCCAACAAACGTGTTCCCCCGGATTTGTCCCGCTTTCTTCTGAAAATTGGCGGGGGGGGGAGGGACTAGAGCCCATTGCACTGGAATCCGGCAGTTACACTCCGGCCTCAGCAAACCACGGGCAGGCGTTGCTGAACCAGCATTCCCGCTCAGTTGCTGGGTGCGGCCGCCAAGGGTTGTAGCGCGGGCCGCATGTTTCAAGGTCAACGCGTTGCTCCGCTGCAAGGACCCGCTGGCGGGTGGCAACGTGCAATTCTGCTGTGTCATTTGACGGCGTGCTGATGCAATATAAGCGATGGACATTCAGACAGTGGCTGGCGGAATTTGGTAGCCATAGACGACACCAGGACGGCGGCGGGGGGGGGGGGGGGGGGGCCCAGAGGGCAAAGTCATAAATTAAGGAAATCAAGGAGTACCCCACCCGTCTTGCATTTTTCGCTTATTGTTACAAGAGGCGTGTACGACTTGATCAGTAATACCAGTTTCCTCGAAATCGTTCCGAATAGATCAGAATTTAGCTTTTGAAGTAACCGACACAGCGGGAGAAATCTCTGAATCCCTGCTCACCACTGACAGAAATACCTTTCATATGTCCAGCTTTTTTCAACGTGTGCTTTCTGTATTGTTTGCAACACACTTATGTGTCAAAATGTTTGTGTAATGAATGCTATGAAAGCTTGAAACCACTTTAGGAAAAAAGGGCATATGGCATATTAAAAGGCAAAGTATGCTATTATTTCGCCAATTCAGCGAAAAGTTATGCGATTGACTTTTATTTATTACACATGGCGTTTACCACAGTGGTTCATTTCAAAGCGCACTTTTACTTTGGGAATGGAAATGTGAATCCATGTGACGCGCTGGTTCAAACTTGAACCAAACAGCTTCTCAGCAGCAGGCTCCTGCCCGCCAGGCCAATCAAAAAGTTTTTATCGCACCAGTAGAGGCGCGCACAGTCGTTTGTCATGGCGACGGTGGTTGCAACTGCAGGGAAAAAGCGTAGTGCTGTTACATAGCGTTGACAGTGTGATGTGGACCTGGAAATAATTAAAATTGATATCCTGGTTATGTCTTGACGGTGCAGCAGTGGCACTACCCAGTAGACGTAACTAGTAACTAAGTGTAACACCCGAGTTGTGCTTGAGAACCTATGCCGCAAGGCGAGACACTTCCTTTAATGTAACATAAATGATCTCCATGGGTGGGAACATGAAGGAGTCCGTAACTGGAGCACTTCTTATCACTGGACCATCAAGCCGCAGCCCGATCTAGGGATGTCAAGTCGACACTCATGCGAGTTCGTGCAGATATGCATTACCTTAAGCAGCTTGGCGCCCAGGTACAAAAGCTATCTGTGGGGTTCAGCGGTTCGTCAAATAACACGCGCCGGGGTGGCCGGTTGAATGCCCCCCCCCCCCCGCTCAAGTGCTGGGGGGCGGGGGGCAATCTAAACCCTGAGATTCTCAAAAGCTGAGAAATCTGGAGACACCAAATCCACTGGGTGGGATGGACTGTGTGTGAAATCACTTGTGATAAAATTTGAGGTTCATGGGTGAGCCTTGGGCTACGGCAAGGTCAAACAAGACTGAACTCCAGATTGGTGTCCGAAGTGCCCCCAGACCTCATGTAACCGCCCCTGAACATAGACACCTGTTGTAAGCGAAAAGACGCTGGGTTCGCTTGAGGTCAGTGACCTTTTTCCTTTAGAGGGTCAAGGTCACCAAAAACCTAGTGGATCGTTTCTATTTCGCCATTTGAATAAGCGTCAGGGATTATGCTGGGCGGTATGATCCTAAATCAAAATGTTGAAGTGGGTCATTTTAGGTTAATCAGCTACTTTCACTTCTAAGAAGTCCATGGAACATGTCTGCGGCAGTTCCTGCAATTAATAAACTCGAAATGAGCATCAGAAACTACTTCACAAGGCAAGCTGACGAGTAAAAAAGCAGGTTAGTTCCAACTTTGGTACGGTCTTTACGCCCCACGCTAGGCCCATGCAATTTGTTGTGATTCTAATTTAAATGTTGTATTGCCTCAGAACCTATCTAGAGGGCATAGACGGATCCTGGGGCGGGGGGGGGGGGCACGGGCCATAGCCCCCCAAAAAACTCTGCATGTATGTTTTGGCCTCCCAAAACATTTCCGGAACTTCATAAAAGTTTCGTCTACTTACCGTCTGTTATCACCATTTACAATAAACTCCATCTGACCAGTTGACTTGAAAATAATAGATTATGTTACGAGCATTATAAACATGCATACTGTATGTAGAAGATTCAAAAGCATTTCGGTACTTCAATGGTGTCCCTACTAGGTACTCGCGAGAGGCACTATGCACTGGACCTCGGATCCCACACCAGCCAACTGGCGACGAACGGTTGCCCCCCCCCCCAAACTCCAGGCTAGATCCGCCCCTGCTAGAGGGTACTAGAGCTGTGTGGCTTGTATGGAATCCGTTGTCATTCTAAATTCAAATGTTGTATTGCCCCAAAAACTTTTTAAAGAGAACTCGAGGTGTACGGCTTCCTCTAACGCTCCTTTGTCGCATTACCTTGAACGGTTCCTAAATAATGACCTTCGCTTAAGGCCATGGCATGACTTGGACATGCAACAGGTCTGCGATCTTGCAAGGTACATCAAATTTGTTATGCCAAAAGACCTGCTAGGTAATTGCCTGCAGCTATGAGAAGTTTTTGCGCGGTTACGCCGTGCCGTTTCGGAAGTCATTCTGGGAAAACCTTCGGGGTTCAAATTCATTCGTTTATTATAAATACATTTATGTATTATTATAGATGAATGTATTGTATATATGATAATCATTTATCATTATAAATACATTCATTCATTCATTCAAAAACATCCACCCGAGCGCGTGTTACACGAAATACAAGGAGGGTATCCAGCAGGTTCTGAGCGGAAGATTTGCTAAGTGTACACGCAAGTTATAAGCCACGTGTCCGTTAATTTTAACTGACGGTTGCTCTCTAGACGCGCCCCTGCGACCCCAGCGCGACAACCGCAAAAACTGGGGCAAAAAACTGCCGCCCAATCCGTAACACAATGGCCTTTCATCTCCCAGGCAGCGGGCGGCGGACAGAGCGGCTGGCCCGGTTCCCTCCCATGGGTCCGGCCGCCCGCCATGCTCTCATCTAACCCCTCAAGGTTGCAGTGAAGGTCACATTCTACGCCGGACGTCCCGGCTGGCGTGCTGCGCTGTCAGTGGTGGGAGAGGGGTGGGGGGCTGGGAGAATGACTAGCAGCTTTCGTCTGCGGAGGCGCGGGGGCGCGGCGCGCGGCGCGCGGCGGCGGCGGCGGCGGGCGTGTGAGTCATGGCACGCTGCGGTAGCGAAGCCCGGCGGCGGCGGCGGCGGCGTGTGAGTCATGGCACGCTGCGGCAGCGAAGCCCGCCCTGCGGTATGGCGGGGATCGCACGCGGCGTGCAACGGAGGTTTGAGGTCATGCAACAGAGGTCCGAGGTCATGCGATGGTGGTCTGAGGTCATGCGATGGAAAACGGAGACTGAGGACTTTTTGATGGTGCAGGCGGCCATTGGCATAGCTACACTTGCCCTCGACTAAAGCAGGGGGTATGGGCGACCCAGCAGGGGGGGGGGGGGGGGCAGGGGAGGTTGGTGCCCCTCCCCTGCTGACAGGCCCAGGGGGCCAGGGAATGTTCTTACCCCATGGGGATTTCAGAACGCGACTTATACGCAGGCTGAAGGTTGTGTAGCTACACATATGCTACAGATATGTTACCAAAGTGTACATCAAGGATGCTTTATGACTGAGCTGGGTACAACATATGCTACCATACATTCGGATCAAGGAAATAGGTATTTCGAATGGCCAGCACATCACCAATGTGTGCCTTAAGAAAGTTTGTTCCAGACTCGTGACGAACTCCAAAACGCGGTTGGGGAGCGAAATAACGGACCTTAGTTTCACTCAGCTCCCAGTTTCTTACGCTACATCACCAACGATCCATCTTCGCAATTTGTCAAGGCGGGCAGAAGATCGGAGCATCGTTTCGCTCCTGGACCTTATATCAAAAACGTTTCAAACTACGAAATATACGATATCCTTTGAAAACGAGCCCGGTGTACTTTTTTATCCCATTGGACAGCCGAAAGGGAAGGCGCATAACAAGTGCATCAGAACGCTTATGTTACGTTTTTCACTGGACCTCTCCACTGCCTCGAGGCAACACGCTGTCCATGAAGAGACCGGCGTCGCCGCGACCCGCGCTCGAAGAGACCAGTGTCACCGCGACCCGCGCTCGAAGAGACCAGCGTCACAGACCAGCGTCGCCGCGACCCGCGCTCGAAGAGACTGGCGTCGCCACGGCCCGCGCTCGAAGAGACCAGCGTCGCAGACCAGCGTCGCCGCGACCCGCGCTCGAAGAGACCGGCGTCGCCACGACCCGCGCCTGAAGAGACCGCCGTCGCCGCGACCCGCGTCGCCGCGACCCCCGCTCGAAGAGACCAGCATCGCCGCGACCCGCGCTCGGAAGCCCTGCAGGACTCTGCCGGGCGCCGAGCCGCCCACAGGGCACTCGGCGTGGCAGTTCTGTTCACAGACAGACTTCCGTTGCCGAGCCCCCAGCCACGGGACAAAACCTCGATATTTATGGTTGTATGAGATTCATGATTTTGCTGCTGAGAGAGTTCAACTATCGCACAACGAAAGACGGCGGAAATGTGAACCAGCCAGCAGTTCAGAATTCTCAGATTACTACTCGAATGCCATTAAAAAACGCCGTTTTCTCACGAGTATCTGTTAAAATGTAATTGCACCAACGAATACCGGACGCATGCTCATCACGCACGCAAATGACGTCATTTTCTGTGGTATTATCACTTAATCAACAGACCTACAACGCAATAGGGTTCGCTGAACCGCATCGCATCGCATCGCATCGCGCATCCGCGCATCGCCACGCGCGCATTGGGCGCCGCCGTCGCTTCAGCGGCGACCCTAAGCCCGGGCGCGGGTCCGTGCCGAGTGCTCACCTCTCCCACAGATAGAAGCCGTTGTCGTCCAGGGTCGGCACAATGTGCTGAGGGTTCATCTGTAACAGGAGCACGTGAGGTAACGCCTCTGGTCAACACAGGTCGGTTTCGATCAACCAGCCATTAGAAGAGGCCGCTCAGCTCAATATAACTCGGTCCCGATAAACCACCTATCAGAAGGGACCGCTCGGGTCAATACAAGTCGGTCTCGATAAACCAGCCATTAGAAGAGGCCACCCAGCTCAATACAAGTCGGTCTCGATAAACCGAACATCAGAAGACCGAAACTAAACCCAGCCAACACCGACAGTGTGCGCCGTCCAAGCCATCTGACACCGTCCAACACTCATCGTGTGCACCGTCTGAGCCATCCAACCCGTGCACAGTCTGAGCCACCCGACCCGTGCACCGTCCGAGGCACCCGACCCGTGCACCGTCCGAGGCATCTGACCCGTGCACCGTCCGAGCCATTTGACCCGTGCACCGTCTGAGGCATCCGACCCGTGCACCGTCTGAGACATCTGACCCGTGCACCGTCCGGAACATCTGACCCGTGCACCGTCTGGAACATCTGACCCGTGCACCGTCTGAGCCATCTGACCCGTGCACCGTTCGAGGCATCTGACCCGTGCACCGTCTGGCATTCAGGTCGTGCACCGTACGCATATTCGACATGATTCTCCCCGACACACGGTGACAATGTCTCATCAACAGCCGATGCAGCTCACCTTGATGAACTCGGGCGTCATGTTTTCGCCCTTCATCAAGTCAGTGACCTTGAGGTTCATGTCGATACCCAAGGATTTGGCCAGCAGGTACACGCTCCGGCAGGGGGCGCTCAGATCCATGTAATACAGGTCCATACCCATGTCTGGAAAGGCGGACAGGTCAGCAACCGGGTAGCAAACACTGCAGTCTAAGGTCACCGGACACACCATGCAAACATTGTTGGGGATAATCTCCGCAGACTTTGCTCGTATGCTTGTCGTCCAATCATGGCCTTGTACACTGACGCTGGGCAAAGAGCCAGTGTTCTCTCAGTTTCCCACCCCCCCCCCCCTTCTCCCAGCGCAGTGACACAGGCATTTCAGCCCCGTGCTCATCCCTCATCATACGCGCGCGCACCGACACATCCCGCGGGTACACCAGTGGCCAAGTTTCTCCCCATGCTCCATCTCGCCAGACACGCGCGCACCGACACATCCCGCGGGTACACCAGTGGCCAAGTTTCTCCCCATGCTCACATCTCGCCAGACACGCGCGCACCGACACATCCAGTGGGTACGCCATTGGCCAAGTTTCTCCCCATGCTCACATCTCGCCAGACACGCGCGCACCGACACCTCCCGCGGGTACACCAGTGGCCAAGTTTCTCCCCATGCTCATATCTCTCCAGACCCGCGCGCACCAGACACATCCCGCGGGTACACCATTGGCCAAGTTTCTCCCCATGCTCATATCCCGCCAGACACGCGCGCACCGACACATCCAGTGGGTACACCAGTGGCCAAGTTTCTCCCCATGCTCATATTCCGCCAGACACGCGCGCCACAGACACACCCAGTGGGTACACCAGTGGCAAAGTTTCTCCCCATGCTCATATCTCCCCAGACACGCGCGCACCAACACATCCAGTGGGTACACCAGTGGCCAAGTTTCTCCCCATGCTCATATTCCGCCAGACACGCGCGCACAGACACACCCAGTGGGTACAACCAGTGGCAAAGTTTCTCCCCATGCTCATATCTCCCCAGACACGCGCGCACAGACACATCCCGTGGGTACACCAGTGGCCAAGGTTTTCTCCCCATGCTCATATCCCGCCAGACACGCGCGCACAGACACATCCCGTGGGTACACCAGTGGCCAAGTTTCTCCCCATGCTCCATATCTCACCAGACACGCGCGCACAGACACATCCCGTGGGTACACCAGTGGCCAAGTTTCTTCCCATGCTCATATCTCACCAGACGCGCGCACCAGACAACATCCGAGGGCACAGCAGTGGCCAAGTTTCGCATACCTGCAGACGTTCCCTGATCACGTCCCGCAGCCTCGGTCTGCCGGCTCGAACAGAACGGACCTGGCAACGGCCGGCGCGGCGGCACTTCCCCTCCCCTCCCCCCACCCCGCCTCCGGTCAGACTCCGCGGCAATGGCGGCGTCAGAATCCCCGACAGGGGGGGGGGGGGGGGCGGGGGCAATGCAATCAAAGGCAGCTCCGCGTGCAGGGGATGTGGCGGGAGTATGATATCCTACGTATCATCATTGAGATAGACCCGTATTTTGGGGACAGGCCGCGTAAACGAACGGTGGCTGCGGTCTGGTGCGTGGTTTTGACGGGTGCGTGCCTCCCTCTCTCGCGCCGCTGAATCACCGCTACACAGCCGCCGCCGCCGCCGGCGGCTGTCGGGTTTTGCACGTGGCGGCGGGTCGGGTGACGGACGGTCGGCATGTTGCGGTTGCGACTTGCAGGCAGAGCTGCTTGCAGCTGCAACAGCGACGTGACGCTGCTCGGATTCAGACGGCCCCTTGTTTGGACCATTTTTGTTTTTTACTCATAGTGATATGCGTACAGAGGTTTTGATTTGATCATTGAATCCTTGGGCCTTGGTGAGGCACTCAGCTGCTGAGGTTATATGGCGTCGCCCGCCTCTCACCCTGGCGAGAAGGGGGGGGGGGGGGGGGGGGGGGTACCGCGGTGCAGTTATATTTTAGGAATGGTGACTAGAGACTTGACTTGTGTTCGACTCCAGCTGGACCCTGAATCGGCTCACGAGTCAATCGCATTGGGGTGAGTCATCAGATGAATGGGCTCACTAGGGAAAAATGCCGCTGAGTCACATGAATCACAGTCACATGAAAAATGCCGCTGAGCCTTATCACATTCCTCGTTAACAGCATGAGCTGAATCTGAGCCGATCATTTCTTGCAGTGTCATGTCGGTGAATCATTCGTCTTGAATACAAATGTGAACACGAGGAAACGGTGGAGACAACATGTTCCAGACAACTCAACGGACCATCTCAGTGTTAAGATGGACAGCACGCCACATTAGTTATAAAGTTTTCTGCCAGATCAGCACAACAATTTATAAGCAACAAACACAATATTGTTAATCTTGAACAAAAGTTTGCCAAATCTCAGCCTGGAACCAGAGGATATTGCATGGCTCAAACATCCTACATTCCTATCTCCTACGCTAAAATCATTGAAAAAAGCTGCATATAAAATTCGAGCGCCGGCCATATTTTCAAGGTCAGATGTCACGACCTTGAACAAATCCAAACCTGGCCCCTCATGCACTGCCACTTGAAGGGAATGTTCCACAATTGAAGATTTGAAGTAGGCATCAGATATGATGGGAAAAGCTTACTTGTGACTATTGGTAAGCTTTCAAGGTTAAAAAACAACGTAAAGTAGGAAAATTTCAAAGTATGTAAAAATGCGCCCCATTACGTCATTGTTTGATGGCGTCAGGGAATGCTTTGGTGAGGACAGCAATACATGGCAGCATCTGGCAGCCAGACCTAAAGGATACCTCGAAACACACGAAAGCTGACGCCAACCGGCCATCCTCGTCGCGGGGGCTGTGTCGGATGGCGGGTTAATGGGTGGTTTGTTTGTGAATTTTTTGTCTTGGTGCTGGCCGTAAGAAAAGCCTTGGTGGACTGTTTGACGTAATCAACGTAGCGATCGCCGTCTTTTATGGCAGATTGTTAAAATCAAAGCACGATATGCTGTGCTACTGCTGTTGCGGCTATGCTGTTGATGATCTTGTCAATACTTTATTGTTGACCCATCGTTGCCTGCAGTGCGGTAGTCCTGAAATTGATATCATGTGGTGCGCACAGTAGTCACTTTTATTGTTTGTAACTGGAAATGGGGTATCTTGCGAAAATTAATTAAGTTGTAAAGTTCCTATGAATTGATTGGCAAAACATCGCTGTTGCTATGGTAAAGATGGTGAGGCTGGGCCATCAAAAATTTTGTTTGCTTAGGATTATTCATGCAATTTAAAGTTAACCCTGGAATAACCACAGTGGTGCAATGACAGTCTCGCTGTTGATAGTCCTTTGGCATTGTTAAATCAGTCGTTACCAGTCAATCATAAATTGTAAGCTTCTGTCTTATAGGCTTGACATAGAATAGTCAATCAATGTGGTACATTTTGTATTCGCATAGGCCAACAGCTTCATTGTGGCACTATCCCGGTGCTGTATTGTGGTATGACATAATGAACAACAATATGGTTTTTGTACTGCAATCCATGCACTGTTTTGCTGCACTGCATTTGCTACGTTCAAACTACAAACTTGCTAGAAGACTATACGTACTATTTTCCGCATCATGGTATATATATATATATATATATTATATATATATATATATATATATATATATATGAATGAGTAATACGGCTCATGAACCACAAGGCAGCGAGCCAGAACTGAACAGTATGCTTGATTTTGCAAGCTGCATAAGTGATGAGTCACATAATTTGATGCAAGCAATGAGTCTAAACCGAGCTAAATCAAAATATTTAGAACGGCTATGAGTTTTTAGCTGAATCGGATTGCAAAATATGTGAGTCGATACTGAGCCTTCTCAAAAGAATTTGAGTCAAACACAAGTCTGCTGGAGCCCAACCCATCGATGGTCCAATAAAAAGTGACAAAAGCGGCATCAGGGTTCTGGTAAAGGGCCGACGCAGTGTATAGTTCCTGAAAGGGGCGCGCTGCTGCGTCATATACTGTTCCACGGCGAAACATACGGCTTAGCGGAAGGTTTACGGCAGATCTCGCCCTTTTTGGGAATTTATGAGTTACGTTTCCTTGTGCTCCCCAAAAAGCCAGCTGTTCACATCCGCCGGACTTGTTTCGGTGCGGTGTCGCTGAGGTCACTTATAGCTTCGCTCCAGTCCACTTAAGTCCACTTCCGTGCAGTCCCCGGCGGCACGCTCTGCACCCGCCTGCCGCCGCCGCTGGACCCCCGCTCAGTGACCCGATCGGCGGGGGGGAGGGGGCGTGACGGCCCACGGGTCACGCCCGTCACGCGGCCGCCGTCACGCTGGCGGCGCGCGGCGCGTCACGGTCGTGCCTCCGGTCGGTGACGCAGCAGGCGGCGGATCCGGGCGGACGCCGCCGCCAGCTGTCCGCCCGCTGCCCGTCGTCCGCTTGCCGTCCGCTGTCCAGAGGCGATCATCTTCGTGACGCGATCTCCGGCGATCATCTCCATGACGTGATCTCTGGCGATCATCTCCGTTACGTGGTCTCTGACGGCCATCCTCGTGACATGACCTCTGCCTATCACCTTCCTGACGCGATCTTTGGTGATCATCTCCGTGACGTGATCTCTGACGGTCATTTTCGTGACGTGATCTCTGACGATCATCTCCGTGGCGTGATCTCTGACGACGATCTCCGTAACGTGATATCTGATGATCATCTCAGTGACATGATCTCTGGCGATCATCTCCGTGACGTGATCTCTCAGGTCATCTCCGTGACGTGATCTCTGACGACGATTTCCGTGATCCTGCGATGGGGCCCTCGGAGGGGGGGGGGCGTCATTAGAGCCTACTATCCCTAGCAATGTGCAGTGGAGCCCGGGTATCTTGTGGTTTAGAGCAATTTACGAAATTGAGCACGTTGGAGCGTAGGTTACCTTGGATACCCAAGGCAAGACGTCTTTTAGCGAAAACACCCAAACTGCCTGTCATTTGACTACCAGTTGTCAAACAATTCACAGTTGTACCCCTGTGTGAAAAGTAAAACCTGTTTGTTTTTCCAGTGTCTCAGCTCAGCGTCGTGATGATATGGCGCTTCTACCGGACATTCCTTGCATACTAACGCACCCGCGCCCACATTTGCTTTAATCTTCTTAACCGACTTTCCATCTTGGGTGGCCCATCTTCCCCACTAGAGAATCCATCTATGTTGCTGCGCTGTCTCGTTCGAGAAGACTGAACACAGTTTTTGAATATATTTCGCATGCTCCTTTCGGGCTAAGCGTCATGGAAGGTGCAAATCACGACCCGCTTTAGCCCGCCGACACGTGTCTTGGCAACACTTCCGTAGGCTGTGACCGAAACCCGTCTGTGTCCAAACTCGGCGAACATTTCATGGAGTGTATCGCTGTTTATGGCTCTTCGGCAGTAAACTGACACCCACAAAGCGCTGCATCAGTGTCCCCTAGCCTTGGGCGGTGGATGAGAAGCCGGCTGTCAAGTCTAAAACCTAGTCACCTGCATACATATTTTTTTGGAAGTATGTGTAGGTGGCTGAAAGGAGGCTGCGTGGACACTTAACTCTGAAACTAGGCGAGGCTCGCATTTCGACGTTACCATGGCAACAATTTGCCTCTTCGTCCCTCTTCCTGCTCAATAAAAACAGCTGGCTTCGTACAGCCATTTATTGCCGGAGGTGCAGTAACAGCTCACTGTTACAGTGCAGTAACAATTTACTGAGGAGCAGTAACATCGCCAGAGCTGTTTCGCTGGCTCTGGCGATGTCCCGTCCTCCAGCAGCCGTGGCACATCATGAACCGCCACTTAAACACCGCTCCAGAGGCGCCTCTGGGTGATGGATGGGTCTCCAGCTATGACGTCGCATGCCAACTTCGCTCGACAAGCTTCTCAGTTTCAGAACGCCAACTTTGGTGGCGCGGCACATACCTAGGCACCACACGCTGGGGTGTGTTGATAGGACAAACTACGCATGATGGTGAGATGAATTGTCAATCCTCTTATTCATTCATCGAATCCCGAGAAATTACCGCTCAGGGACAGGCACAAATTCGAACAGGTCATAACTGACAGTCCTGTTATTGATAGAGCTGAAGTGTTGCTTGTCTGCGAAGAAAATCTCACAATGTTTCGCGACACGAAAAGAGCAAAGTATTGATCGCGAGTTGTATATTTTCCTCTTGTTATGTCTCAGAATGCACACTGATCAGCATTGGACGCTTATCAATATCTAGCTTGCCCTGTTGGCAAGTATAACCAGGGTTAAGTGTCAGCACATACCTTTATTCTTCAAGTAAAGTCAGGTCCTATGGGCTTGCAGCGAGATCCAGATTCCCTCAAAAAGGCAAT